AACACAAGAATATTCACTTGTCAGTGGAAAGATCACATAGACATAGAGAAATGCACATATAATGCATGACAACGAACAAGGGAGAAACAATGGATTCCGAATTGTCAAGATTCACGAGATTCCCAGGGTTCTCATGCGATTTTCGGATTATTTATAATAAGAATTTGCATTTCCAAAATTCATATTGAACCTCTATGATCCTAATTATAGTTCTGAAAGTCTTATAGGAGTCAGGGTCGGGACTTCATTACTGTATCATACACTTAAAAACAGCTGCATTAAGCTATGGGGAAAAAATATTTTTTATCTTGCACATTCTAGACACTTAACTTAATTAGATGGGTATAAAGTCCTTTTTGAAAATCGAGGAGGCTACTTTCATATTTTTATCGCAAAATGTACTAAACAGAATAGCAAAGATCACCAAGGAATTAGATAAATTAATGAGTAAAAGAAGAAATACACCGTACCTCGTGGATCTATAGCATCTCATCTGTAACATTTTATTCATTTTGTAATCTAGTGGCAGAATGCGCTCAACTTGATTAGGTAACGGTACAGTCTTCGTATCTACTATAAAGCAAGCGACTTTCTATTTATGATTATTGTTTTTGACATCAATTTCGACGCAAGAGAAAAGAGTTTGAGAGTGAACGACAAATTCCCTTAGAGACTCTTATGGCCTGAAATTGAGATTTATCGCTAACTGAGAAAGACGAGATATCATAAATTTTATGCTACGCTCAACTATATTTGTCTGATTTCAATAAAATAAGCAACATAAGATTTTATGTATTTGCTTGAATCTTGCCCCAATAAATTGTAATGGTTTTCGCCAAACGAGACAACATGGAATTGTTAAAAATTAGATCTGTACAAAGGATTCATTTTGTTTTATCGCAGATTCTCTCATTTTCTTCCCATCAAATTAAATATCAAATCTAGAACGAAGATGATAAGCTAGATCATAAACTTGACAAATAGTCTTTCTAAAATTATCATACACAACAAGATTATGAGACAATTTGGAGGCTGATTGTTTGGAAGCAATCTTTTTCTCGTCCTTTGTGACACTTTGTGAGCTTTAATGAAATATTCAACTCACTGAATTTTAAAGGGAAACAAAACAGATTTCACAGATATTGGGCCATCTGAACTTTGCTCGAATACTCGGGATTTTCATCGAGTTTCGAATTTCTGTTCTTTCTATTTTCTAGTTGTCTGCTTTCTTTCTCGAAGATTCACTCAGTAGTTTCAAGTTTTCCTGGAAATATGAAGGCCGAATGATATTTTTCTTCTGCCGCAATAAAGTAGCCCGATCATTACTAAATCTAGACCAATTTTCCCATAAGATATGCATCAACATTAGTGGTACAAAAAACTGTTCAATCTCATTTTTCTTTGCTCATGAAAGAACAGCAAGAAGCAAAGTAATATCGATCAGAACTGATGTATTACGCTTCCCAATTAATCATGTCTATTTTTGTTAAATCAATGGCGTCGTGAACTAATCTGAGCTAATCGGCTAGTGTATCATTGGGTGTGGGTATCGGTGTGAGGTAGGTGCGGGCTGTGGGTGTTGTTGTCGTTGGGTATAGCTTTGTCACCCACAGCCACACCTATATCCACACCCAGCCTCACTTTTCATATCATCGCGGCGTGGCAGTAGTACGGCAGCGGCAGATTTTCAGCCACGATGGATATCTCTGATTTGTATGTTCTTTAAAGAGTAGAACAGGAAGAAAGACGAAGAGTAATGCAGGAAAGAAAGAAAAAAATGAATGAAAACCAATATGTAGAGATCTTCATTTGATAACTGTCCTCAAATTGGTAACGACTGTGATATTCCTGAACATGAGAAAGCACAAAACAACTTTTGATATTTTTCAACGACTTAGTATCAACAATGAAGAAAAATATCAATTTATCATTGATCGTCTTAATTGTTATCATCAAATGCTAGGGGTGTGTGAATGTACACGTGCGAATAAACTAAGATGCTTATTGACACCCTCACTCATCCTTAATGAAGTCGATTAGTTCTAAGATCTTTTCTGACAATTTCTCTAGTCGTTTAATCGTTCATAGATATTTATTATTTTTGTGAGGTACCTATTAACGACTATTTCAATGGAACAACTCTAACATACGATGTTACGTTAGTTGAAGAAAATAAACTATTAACTGTACAATGACAAACCATTCTCTGCCGTCTTATCCAAACATTCCTCACTTTCAATATCTTTACTAAATAATGAACAAATAAATGATAATAATGAAAATATCGAAGAGAACATAACTAATAATATAATTTCTTAGTTTGATGTTTTTTTCTTCTCTATTCGTTAATTCATTTTTTTATTCCAAAATATTTTATAAAATATATGGTTGAATGTTATTTTAACGATGGTTATTAAGAGCTTTCTATTGAAATTCAATAAGTGGTATTTAAAAACAAGATTTTATTTTACTGAAGTTTTATTGTTACAATAAAGTTGATAAGTTCTTTCGTTTTTTTTATTAAAAGTTATAAATCTGATGAAACAAAAATAATATAAGCCTTTTACTTCTCTTGAGAAAAATATGTCAGTTACGCTTCCGGTTTATTTTTGGCGTGCTGTTGTCTATATTCGCTCCTTGGTTTTAGCGTGTGTTTATGTATAATGTTGTAATCTTTCCTTGCTACATCTTGTCTTCTCCTTCAATTATTGTCCATTTCAAAATAAAAAAACGATGAGATAAAACTGCATCGAATGGTATATACCAGGTTTTTCGGGTAAGTTTTCTCAGGCTCTGCCATCAAACGTATTAAAAACAACACATTATGTAATGTAAAAGTTTTAGGATTTTAAATTTCCGAAGCGCACTAGAGTCATTAACTAAATTCCAATGTGGTAAGGGTTTAGCCAATCATGAGTTATAAACCTATTTACAATCGTTGATTTTTTTAAAAACTTGACAGAAAAATCTAGTATGCGCGATTCGATGCAGATTTATCTCTTCTTTTAAACAGTGAAAACCGCCGATTTATATCTTGTTCTTATCAAAAAATACTCGCCCTTCTTTTATTGTGAAATGAATAATGGTTTATTTTCATATTTAGACTACCTCCCTCCATAATCTCGCTATTTCCTCTAGACTCTCTTCTCTCTCGCGTTCGTTCAATTGATATATAAGCAATGACATGTGCTGGATTTACAGCCGCCAACAATATTTATAAGACGCACTTTGTTAGCAACTTATGATTAATTATTAATTGAACTGGAAAATAGAATTAATAATTCATCGAGATTGAACAGCTGGACATTTTCCTAAGCATATAAATTAGGTTATGTATGTTAAACCACTTTGAACTTATTTGCGAGTACAAGTTGTTCGTATAGAATATTTAGAAAAAAACGAAGAACCTTGCTCAAAAGAAAAAACCAAGTGAACCAAATTTCTGTAATAAATAATTGATTTGATGTTTTATTGTATTTTTAAATATTGAAAATGATGAAGGCCAACTCCTTGGAAAACAAAAAAAATAAAATAGGACTGTTTTGAAATTATTGGATCAAGAAACTAAAAAATGTCAGTCCACCGCATATTCAGGAAATCCAGTATATGATAGAGGATGAAAAATGAACGAGAAAAGCGATCAGAACTAGGCTAAACACTCGAAATACTCGTATTCGTTTTCGAGATCTTAGATATATATTCTTTATATCGTACAGATCGAAGAGGCCGACGCGAGTCGAGAGAGTTCAAAAAAAATGTGACACTCATACGCTAACGAAAAAATGTTGATTTGTCTACAAAGGAAATTGCTTTTTCCCTTTTTAAATGGCATCGAAAATATTTTCTCTGATGGTAGATAAAAATTGTCGGATAAACTTGATGCATATTTATGTGAAAAAAGCTGCCAAAACAATTTATTTTCCTTTCGAAAAATCAAATCTTCTTTATATCAACTAGGCTTGAAGTAATTGCCACTGTCAGCAACATGGGCTCCAATGGAAAGTATTTTCTCTCAAAGTTGTTTTGTAATGCGCACATATAAAGTTTCACAAACTGCTAAAAACGTATGTCTACCTACTTTTCTTCTTAAATGTAGTGAATTTTTTTGTAGTTTGATTTACTTAAAACTCGGTAATAAAAATAATAAGAAGAACCTTTGAACAGATGACTTGTACAACATTTAGATCTGAGCATTTATATGGCATTTTTCAGACTAACAACTATACTTTCTCCAGAGACTCATCCATGAGTACTACTCGTGCTGATACTCGAGAAATTTCGTACTTGCCTTGCTTTGGAAGCGATGTTCTATTACATATATATTTTCTTCAATTAGTCTAAACAAAAAAGTAGAAAAGAACATGTTTTCATTTTATTCTTAGGTCATTCAGAGCGGTACAGTAAGTCCTATCCAAAAAAATAGAACTCTTCAGGCCTATGTCTACAGAAGATGAAGTGATTCAGTGTTGAAACGAGAACAGTAGTATTCATTTCCAAGATCATTATTATTGCGACGATAACTACTTGATTACCTTCCCTCAATATAATCATTTCTAGCACTGGAATTCGGGATAATTAATGGGAATCTAGCCTAGAATATTCCATGAACTAATCAGATAGTTTCCGTATTTCTCTCAAAGAATGTAGTGAATAATGCCTGACGTCGAATGTTGATAAGCTCCATTATTTTAACGCGAATTTGATTGATGTCCACATCAGAAAAAATGGAAGACAAACAAAAAAAAACAACTCTCGATTATGAATGACAGTATTGTATTCAATTTTGTTTTTTTCTGTCAAGCACCCAAAAAAATGAAAACACATGTTGTGCAGATGATCACCCATCTGTTAGAATATCGCATATAAAAATAAATATGTTTATGAGGTTCATACAAAAAGCAAAAGAAGAAAAGAAATCAATAGTCATGAGTAACATATCACCTTAAGGAAAATCAACTACAATAAAACGATGCATGTAGTGCACATTTAGATAGTGTTGATTACAAATTTTGATTTGTCGGCCAGAAAAAATTTAATAACCAAGATAAAAGCCACCAAAGCGAAGATGAATCTATTGAAACGAAATAAAGATTTATTGAAAATAAAAGAATGTTAAAATAAGCAGTTAGCAGCACATAATTAATAACTGGCTATTTTCAGATATCTCCGCCGTTCTTCTATCAGAATAAAAACAGAATATTTGAGAGAAAATTTTTATTGCTTCTTGAGGACTTATCCAAATAGACTGTCTTATTTAAGATAACGCAACGTAATTTGTTTCGATTATGATCAATACCTGCTATTGGTTGTCCATAACCATCTATCGTTACTTTTTTTTCATCTAAATCATCAAACCAACTATCAACACCACCCATTAAAATTTTAACAACATACTTCAAAAAAAAAATGGAAGATAAATCAATCAATAGAAAAAAGAAGTTATTGCTAACATCACCAAAACTAAAAGGAAATTGTTTTCCTTGTAGTGCTTGAATTTCTTTTTTTTCATTTCTATAATCATCAACAACATCAAGATTAGGAATTCTTTTATCCCAATCATTTAAATATCCAATACAATCATCATCATCTGTTATTAATATAATCATTCATCTAATGATATTTATTATTTTATTTTTTCTCACCAGTACAAGCAATAATTGTTACAGGTATACGATGAGAAGGTTTACGTTCATGTTTAAGAACATATTCCAATGACTGAATGTCTCGATGACCTCGATTATCAGTTGGTTCACCATCGGTTGCTAAAAGTATCAATAATTTACGTTCTTCTAGTTCGTGTTGTTTATCACGGAGTACACGTTGAAAAACTGAGACAATTGGAGTTGGACCTTAAGAAAAACAAATTTTTTTAAAAAGAAATTCAGTTCTTGAACACACCAGATGGACGAACAGCAAAGACAGGAACCAATTCTGATGAATTACGAACATGAAATAAAGGTTCACGATTAAGAAAATAAATATCAACACCATCTGGATCAAGGACACTAGCAATATCAACAACAATTGATACAGTTTGCTTTAATTCATCCCCTATGATAATAAAACAAAGGAAAAATTCTTTAAAACAAAAATTGAAAATATAAATTAATACATCGAGATGGTGCTTTAACAAAAGGACTGGAAAGGTCGCCTGCTATAATAACGACAATCAATTTCTCATATTAAAAAGAAATTCATAAATAAATTACCGAGTGGTGTATTCATGGAACCTGAATCATCACAAATAAATACAATTTCATATCCTTCAAGTGCACGTAATTTGGTTGCAAATGTATGATTAACTAAATAGTTAAATTAATTCGATCATGAAAGTTTAAACATGAATAACTCACTTTCATAACGATCAACAATATGTTTAAAATTTGCCATACGTTCGTCACTAGTTGTATCATAAGTTGGCAATGACTGACAATATTGTTGATTTAATTGCATATCAGTATTATATGGTGGTGGCGCAGATGACTCTGATGAATATTTTTCAGGATACATTTTAGTTTATATTATACGATGATATTGTAAATATTCACTTTAGAAATCTGAAGACTAAGAAAAAATTACGAATCAACAAAGAGCGTGTGTATTTCTTGTGAACTGGAAGAGAATAGCGTTCAGGAATGAAACTGCATTTGTTTGGATAAAAAAATTTAATTGGCATTATACTGCCAAAATTTGTAACGGAAAAATGGCATTAAAATCAGCGAAAATTTACATCATTAAAATGGTTAATCTAATGAAGATAAATGATTCAGCGTTTACAAAAAATAATGTATAGAAGTCAAATCATTTTTATGCATTGCAGTGTCCTAAAAGTCACTTTACACTTGGTATCGTATCTAACATAGATCTTCAATATATGGAACCTAAATCTTATTCATATGTATACTCGTACTCAGGAGTAAGAAACATAACTACTAATATAATTGCTTTCGACAGCAATAATTTCTTGAAGAAAAATACAAATGTATTTTGTTTACTTTTGTATGATTGTAACAAAGTTTTGTTGTCATGCTGATTCACTAAACTTTCTAATTGTGAGCTGTTCAGATATTCTGTAGTGACAGAGAACGAGACAATATATCGCATAAAAACGCGCTAGTGTGATGTTCTACTTTAATATAGAGAGGAAGCTTCGTTGAAAATGACCTCATAATATCCTCCTAACAGCTCTTAGCTAGAAAGTTTAGTGAATCAGTATGACAACTAAACTTTGTAACAATCATACAAAAGTAAACAAAATACATTTGTATTTTTCTTCAAGAAATTCTTACTGTCGAAAGCAAGTATATTAATAGTTGTATGTTTCTTACTCCTGAGTACAAGTATATATATATGCATAAGATTTAAGTTCTATATATTGAAGATATATGTTAAATATTTCATCCGCCAAAGAATGATTAATCTATGTACTAAGTTTTCTAAATATTCAACTCGTCTTTTGATTTATTCACTTCTTCGTACAATAGATATTATACATATTTTACTCAATGTATCCTCCCTCTATATAGTGATTGTTCGTATATATTTTCACTCATGTCAACCGCTCATGTACCTTACCCGTCAAAAGGCAAAATTTTATTCAAATAGACTTAAAACATATCTCACTATTTCGCTCAAAACAGGATATGAAACAAATTTCTTTGTTTTGTAGTGAACTACTATAATTTATGACTGACATCTCCATGTTTGTTAGATATTATTAGTCGTCAATACAAACTTTAATTCTAAGACTCAATTCTCAATGTGTTTCGAATAAATTGAAAAAAACATGTTTTTGTGTTCATTTAAGTCCAAGGGATATGAGAGAAGAGTTCGATCCTACTAGTAAGTTGCACAAATAATTTATTTGAATGAAAAATTGTCTAACGTGTTAATTACTCGAAACCAAAGGATCGTTCTTTTTATTCCTATTATTTCGTTTATAGTGTAAATGTTTTGAGTTGTGCTGTGCGGAGAGACGACTCGATGTTACAGTTATATCATCTACGTTTCAAATGAATCGAATATACGTTGTTCTTGCTTTTTCTGTCAGTGCTCTTTTCTTTGTTTCACGACAAAAATGAAAATTCACCAATAGGGATAAACAAATCACATAATTTGGACAGAGAGCTAGAATAGAGCATTAAAACCAAGGGGGAAACATCGTACTTTTGTACTTTAACTACTTTGATGTACTTTAATGTACTTTGAGGTACTTTGAAGTACTTTGAGGTACTTTGAAGTACTTTGAAGTACTTGCAAATAAATGTTTGAGACATGTAGTTTTTCCAAATTTTTTCGGCTTTTTCGCATGTATGAGAAGAATGCACTGGCTTCGCAGAAATAAGTTGATTTGAGAGTCATTTTTTAATTGAAAATCTGAGAAAAATTTTGTAATATAGAATTTCAAAAGTAGCTAAAAGGACTGGCTGTTTTTTATACCACTGTAAATATCTTTTCCATTTATTGTGTAGAGAATGTTTAAAGATTGTCTCCTGATTTTGGATTATTAATTGAACAAGAAAAAAATTGTTTTTTGGTATTACTCAAAAATTTGAAGATCTAGGATTTTGAACGGCGTGCTCATATAATAATAGGAAAAAATCTATCTTTTAACACCTACAATACGAATTAAATAAAAAANGTAGTCTCATGAAATCTCTTGAAGTCTGCTGTTTCCTCCTTACGTAGAATTACTTTTCTGTCACTCTTTATCTGCTTTAGAAAATATAGAAATTCATAGTCAAGAATCGAACTCATTTTCGATTTTGAACAACTAATTTTGCTGATGAAAATGAGACAGTGCACCGTTGTCTAAGACTTCTTACTACCAACTATTGTTTGATTATTCAGAACATAACGAATTGAAAATCTGCTTAGATCATTTTAAAGTCTAACAGTTAATCTTTGAATAGATTTGTATCGTTTTCTTCAACTATTCATCAGAAAATGCACGCATATTTTAATATTCAATTTTTGTATATATTCATGTACTGGAAATATTTTTAAAACTCGAGCCCTGGTATTTATACATACCTTGGATTTGTTCTAAACACCAATAGAAGATTTGAACTAGAGTAGGTGTTAACAGGGTGTGGGGTGTGAGTGTTGGCGTGTTTCGTTGGCACCCACCCACACTCTTCATTTCTTTGAAAGTCATCAATGGATATCTAGCATTAAAACTAGTTATTAATTGTCATTTTGTGAAGAAAAACACCTATCTACTGTCTTTTGTAGATCATAACTCACTAAAAAAGTCAATAGATTGAGTTGGAAGTTGTAAAGAAATCAATAAAAGAAAAATGCTCTTCAAATATAAAGAATTGAGAGGCAAGTAGAGAGACAGCCGTTTTCTATTAAATTAATTTCCTATTTGAGTATTAGGAAAGAAGCACATTTATAAATTCTATCTGCATGCTAAAATATCAAGAATTAATCATGGATTTGATAACAGGTAGCCAAAAATGTGAGCAGTTAATCTATTTCAGACTAAATGATTGAAACAGAAAAACGTTACTGTTACTCACAAGTAACCAATATGATCTCATACTTCTGAACTCAATTCTTACCATAGTATATACAGAAAAAAAATTCAGGTCTTCAGAATCTATTCTACTCAAAGTATAACAAGATGAAGGAATTTTTTTTAGCTATTGTAACAGATAAACTAAAGAAACCTATGGAAGACATTATTTGAGTATATAATTTTTAAAAAAATACTGTTTAGCTCAACAAGTAATACTATGGAGTGATTGAACGCCTATAATCAATTCAACAAATAATGGTCTTATAAGTGAAAAGCGTACACATTTTTAATGTACAATTGATTCATCATCTATTCAACAATTACCAGAATTAAAATAAGATATGGTTATGTATCAAGTATGTAATAATCAAGGATTTGATTGTCAAAAACCGGGTAGATTTCTTTTTTATTATAGAATTTAATTTTTCTAAACTAATTCTATTTTTACATTCATTAGATTATTTAAATTTCAAAGATTGATCATCATAGTCAGATTGGAGTGGCAATTATTTTATAATTATTAATTAAATTTTTCATAAGTAATGAATTCTTTTTTTTGTTCGTATAAAAGATTGTTATCCAGGTTGTGATGTATCTGGTTCAGTTGAAACTCATCGTCGTACATGTTTCGAAAAAAACGTTTTTTAGGACATGATATTGAAAAACGTGAATGTTCATCTTGTATATCATTAAAATCAAGTAATTGGTTATGTTGGACAGATGATCGGAATGCTCATCATGTTCATCAAAGCGATTAGGTTCAATAAAATATCGTACACGTATATATCTTACAAATTCTTGTCAAAGTGAAACACGTCAAGAATGTTTATGTTCAACATGTTCAGTGCTATTAAATTCATCTTCATTAATTGATTCAATTAATGAAAATCGTTTTTCAATAATACATACAATAATTGCTTGTTCAATATCATTTTTATTTGGTTGTCTTTTAATGATTTATATCATAATTTTATGTCGTTATCGTCGTCGTCATTGTCACTCGCATTATAGACAAAGATAAACATCAAATAGATTTCTTCATAGATCGAGATTATTTTCAAGCATCAACTTCTAATTCATCATCAAGTCCACATACAGCACAAGATTTAAATACATTTGCAACATTATCAAATACAAATAATCAAACAAATCAATTTCGAAGTTTTGATTCATCATTATCATCGACAAATGGTAGTGTTAGTGCTTTTCTTAACGATATTCCATCGAGAAAATAAAACATGTATATTAATCAAAGAGAAATGCCACTATTACCACCAGCAGCAACATTAAAACGAACATCATTAATGTTATCAATGAAAACAAATCTTGATGTTGATGATTTTTAGTTATCATTGTAAGCACAATAAAATTTCTAATTTGAAAATAATTCGTATTTCAGAGAGGAGTCAGTTGTTTTTTTTTTTAATAGTATCTATGATTTAATATTTCTGGCTGATCCAGTGTTTTCTCTGTTCTTATTGTATTCATCTTTTTCTTTTAGTCTAAAGGTGTTGTTGGTATTGTATCTTTGTTTTCGTTTATTGTTTTTACAATACCAAAGAAACAGATGTTTGTATAAGTCGAAAGTGAAGGGTGTGGGTGAACATGAAGAATTATAACATCCATACCTCGCTTTTTTTATTGTGAATGATAAGGAATATTCCAGTTAAATTTAAACCTATTTTTATCAAATATGATTTGAATGTTAATCAAACGTGACATAATAATGCATCGAAGTAGCAGCTTTTCTTATTAACAAGAACATATCTTCTTTTTTTTGAATATGTAGAATACTATAAACTCATTTCATGCATATTAGTTTGATCTTTATCAAGTGAAAAAGTATTGAATAATGATAATAGTTAATTTTACTGATTTATTCAGTATATTGAACCAATCATAGTGTTTTATTAAAATGTTTCGTTTGTTCAATAACAATAGTGAACTATTTTAAAATTTCGATGTAACAAAACAAAAAAAAGTATTGGAATGTGAATTGAGTATTATCTAATAAGTCAAGTATAATGAAAAGAATTTCGGTCTTTGGTCATTCATTATACAATCGAACATGTATTTTTCTTTTTCCCTTTGTGTGCAAGTCGATCAGGTGGAATATTACTATTCACACGATGTTCATCAAGTGTATCAAACCAATTGTCAATAGCACCCATCAATATTTTCACAACATACTGAAAACAGAAGGATAATCATTTTAATAAAACAAACCTACCAATCAATTTACGTACATCACCAAAACTAAAAGGAAATTTTTTTCCTTGAACTTTTTGAATTTCTTCTCGTTCTGATCTGTAATCATCAACAACGTCGATATTGGATATTTTCTTATCCCATTTGTTAAGATAACTACAAAATAACAGCAATTGAAAGAACACTTATGAGTACGAAAAAAACAATCTCATCTTTACCCAATCGATTCCTCATCATCTGTACAAGCGATAAATGTAACTGGAATGCGATTAATTGGATTACGTTCGTTGCGAAGTATATGTTCTAATGTTTTGATATCGTGGTGTCCACTGTCATTAGTTGGTACACCGTCTGTAGCAATTAATATCAAAAGTTTTCGTTCTTGAATTTCAAGTCGTTTTTCTTGTAAAACATGTCTTAAGATACGAGCGATAGGTGTCGGCCCTACAATAAAATTATAAATCAAGGAAAATAAGCTTTTAGATGTTCTTATCTACCAGCTGGTGGAAGAACAAATGCTGGAGTGAGTTGTTCGGAACTCGTGATATTACGCAGTGGCTGACGATTTAAAAAGAAAACATCTAAAATTGTGAAATTAAAATGGCTAATAAAACTTTTGTTTTTTTTTAACTTACCGACACCATTTGAGTCGAAACTTGATTATACATAATCAAAGATAAAGAGTAAATGATATAGATGATGGTAGATATTACTTACACAGATGCAATTTCAACTACAATTGAAACTGTTTGTCGTAGTTCATCCCATCGAGTGGATTTTCGGTCGTATGGACTCGATACATCACCTGATTTAGAAGATCATATATATTCAATTACTCAATACTTTAAAAGGCATATTCTTTTGAATATCGTTAATAAACTGCTACGATTTACGATTCTATTTCCTTTTGCAAATTTCTAAACCTTTTGTGATCATCAACTGCCGAAAAGAAAAATAACTATCGATGAAGACAAAGTATAAATTTTAAATAACGAAACCACTTTAGTACATGTCTACATTAATCCCTGAGAAAGGGATGCTGTCTGATCCGTACTCATTCAAACTTTTGACTAACACAACATAATTGAAATATCTCAAGCTCCTTATCTACACACATTACTTTCAATAAACAAGATTTTTGTCAACAAAAAAAGTTTGATTATATGAAATTCTTTTAGAATATGAAGTCATAAAAATGCGACAATATTTCAAAAGTATTCAAAAGAATATTTCTTTTAGTACATTTGTTATCTTACCAACTGGTGAATTCATTGATCCAGAATCTAAATAGAATGATTAAGAAAACTTTTTTTTAGTAGTTCCAAATGTGATACATAAATAAATTATCTATCGTCTTAAACATGACGATGATAAAATTATTTGTCTGACGTAAATGAAAAACAAAAAAGTCATCATCTTACCATCAACTATAAATGCAATTTCATAGCCTTCTAATCCTCGTAATCTTGTTGCGAATTCGCGATTAATTTCATATCGATCGACGAGATATTGAAATTTTCTCATGCGATCATCGTTTGTTCCTTGCAATGAATTAGAACCTATTGGCACTGAGTATGGAAGTGAAGGTGCTTCCGCAGCTGGATATTGTTGTGGATACATTTTTTGTTGAAGAGTTGTTTGTCTATGACTAAAGCACGTTTATGAAATCTTTTTATTCTTCTCTTTGCTCTTTTTTTGTTGATGACGACAATAATGACTGATGTTTGCGTAAGGAATGAAAAGATAACTCTTAAAAAAGTTTGCCTTCGTAAATTGATGAATAACATAAAAGTTTTATTAATGACGAAGCTGACGTACAATACTTGATATCGAATATTAGTAAGCTACTTTATTTGACGCAAGTTTGATACCGATGCTGTCAACAAAACACAACGGAACTTAAGAAGAAAAAACATAGAAAACATCAGCTAGTTTTCGATTATTAATAATAGTATTATCGATTCACCTTTGTTTAATTTTGCTAAACATAAAAGAAAATGCAAGTGAATCAAAAATGCAAAAGTAGATGAATTTTGTTGGTATAAAATTATCTCACTAAAAAGAACAATAAATCTACTTGATAGATTTTTATACAAAAAGACCATAGAAATATGTGACTATGCACTGTATATCACCAAATTTGGAATCAATGAATGCATGCCTTTCACAGTTGTATCGTAATTATAATAGCAAAAGAATGACTTTGTCCACCAGAAGTAATTTACAAAGAATGATAAAAGTCACCAAAGAGTATACGTATTTACTCAAATGAAATGAAGATTTATTTAAGAATAATAAAAAAGAACATTAGATGAAGTCATTAGTAGCAAATAGTTACCATTTGATCATATTTAGATAACTGTACAGTGTTGAAATCGATATATTTCTCAGAAAAGATAAACTATTTATTACATGTGAAGTTATTTAATTTTATGTTTTGTTAGAGAAAGAATGCATTTAGATTTTTCGTGTGCATCACAAACACCTGCTGTGGGTCGTCCATAATCATCTTTTGCTACTTTTTTCTCATCTAAATCATCAAACCAACTATCAACACCACTCATTAGGAACTTAACAGCATACTATATAAAACAAAACAGAACATAAAAACCATAATGAATGTGAAAATACGTACATCACCAAAGCTAAATGGAAATTCTTTTCCTTGTCGCGCTTGAATCTCTCGTTTTTCATTACAATAATCGTTAACAACATCAAGATTTGGAATTTTCTTATCCCAATCATTTAAATATTCAATACAATCATCATCATCTATAATCAATTCTATTAGTTAGTCAAAAAAATAATGAAAGATTGTAAATGTTTCTTCTACCTGTACAAGCAATTATCGTAACAGGTATACGATTAATGGGCTTTCTTTCATTTTTCAGGACCTATTCAAATAAACGAATACCTCCATGACCTTGACTATCAGTGAGTACCCCATCGGTTGCTAGAAGAATCAATAATTTCCATTCTTCTATTTCATATTGTTTATCACGAAGTACACGTCGAAGAGCAAGAACAATTGGCATTGGTCCTTACAATAAATTAAGCTAATTTTATTTCTTAGAATAGATCTGCAACTATGAAACCTACCTGCTGGATTAATAGCAAACATTGCAATTCATTCTGATGAACTACGAACATGAAATCGAAGTTCATGATTAAGGAAATACACATCAATGCCATCTGGATCAAGAACACTGGTTATGTCAATAACAATTGATACAGTTTGTTTTAATTCATCCCCTATAATTATAGTTAGTGTTTTTCAAAAGAGAATCTCATACAGAAAGAAAACCTTAAAACGAGGTTTTTGCTTTATCAAATGGACCCGAAAGACCACCTAATTAAAAAAACTGAAAATAAGCAACTCAACATAAACAATAAAAGTCAATGAATTACCAAGTGGTGTATTCATCGAACCTGAATCATCACATATAAACACAATTTCATAGCCTTTAAGAGCACGTCATTTTCTGGCAAATGTGTGATTAACTAAACAGTAACCGAATTCGAATATCATACGCTTTCATAAGAAAATTCAAACTTGCTTTCATAACGATCAACTACTTGTTGAAGACATGCCAAATGATCTTCACTTGGTGTTTGACAGTTTTACATTGATTGCCTATATTGTTGATAATTGTATTGATTATCATTAACATAGGATGGTAGTGCCGAGGGATATTGCTGAAGATACATGCTGTTGTTTAGTTTACAGTGTGATATTGCAAATATTTACTATTAAATATTAACTTGATACATTATTTATATAGATTTTTTTCTTTGAGAACTCTGCATTCATATAAAATATAAATAGACGTAAAGAATATACTCATTTCCTTTGAAGCGGAAAAAGATTACCGTGAAAGAGCACCCTTACATTTATTTCGATGTGAAACCTATTTGTCACTAGATTAGGTCAACTGTCGATTTAGCATATATAAAAACTATATCAACTATTTCGTCAGGTAGGCAACGCATCGATTGGAGTTTTCCAAGGTTGTTTTATCAGAATGAAATCTATCGAAAACAAAATAATTTCAAAATAGAAACTCCGTTTAGTAGTCAAAAACTCGTTCACTGCACACGTGGCCTCTTGCTGAAGAAAAAAGGCCTCGAACAATCGTAAATGACAAAAACTATCGTTTTGATAAGAATGTCATATCAACTTATATAAACATTCGTCATCGTTATCTTTGCTAGTTTAGCTTTTTTCTTGAGAAATTGATCATTGATTCCTGTAATCGAATACGCACTAGGATCCGTCATAAGACAAACCCAACTAATGATCAAATAGGCGACATGTTTTTCTTTCGTGCTGAAAATTTAGTTTTTAAGCTTTCCTCTGCCATCAGATCATCCTTTATCTACTACGTCAATCCAATTTTTTTTTCGACTACATAAATTTCGACTAATTTACTTTTTCTCTCTTCGGTTAATTATTATTCATACTAATGAATTAAATAGTGTGGGCTGTGAGTGTAGCTGCAGAGCAGCTGAATATTCACATCGACACCCAAGTGTAAGTTTTCCAATCATACTCACTTACACCCACATCATTTCCAGTTCCATACATTGCGAGAGAATTGATTCATTTGAGAACTTCTGTTGAAGTTTCTATTTTAAAATATAGGGAAAACCTCTAGTATAAAGAACAACGTGAGTTGGATTCATGCTACTGTACATTCATTGGAGAGAAATACAAAGAAAAAATTTCAATTAAAATACCATCACGAAAAAAGGACCCAAAATGAATGCAATGGTTTCTAATATTGCTTATATCTAGTCTTACAATAGTGATAAAATCTTAGCCTTTTTACAGCATCTACTAAACAATGTTTGATGAAGTCTACAAAAGTAATTTCCATCGTTGACATTAAACTACGCTTTGTTAGATTAAATATGATTACTAAACAAAACTTTTGTTTAAAATGAGCAATAGTTGATATAAAATATTCTTATAGATGATTAATTTAGCTGAATTTCTACTAATAACAGCTGTGAATGAATAAAAATGCTGAGAATGATCATAAGTGGATGTGCATGAAAAGACTTTTCAGTGTAACTCAGACTTTTAAATATGTCGGAATTTTGAATAATCTTCAATGATAAATTAGTGATGATCTTTACCTCTTTTTTACAAAACTAATGATAGTGATTTTCTATACAGAATGTACATTTACCAACTCATATAGCTGAAATGTTCGAAAAGACACTTTGCTTCTTGAATATCGACACCATGAATAAATAAGTAGTCATGGAGAAAAGAACTTGGGTATGTTTTTACTGAATATGACATAAATGTCCGAATTATTCGGAAATATACACTATTTACTTGTTATCTGACGAACAATTACGTATGAATATGTTTTCTATTTTACGATGAGTCTTGTGATTCATGTCACAAATTGTCATATCAGATTATACTACAATTAGTTTCATCAGAATCATGTTCTTTAAGTTAAATCAGTCCTAGGTATCGAATCGATAAACTCACTTCGTATCGGAAGTCTAGACGAAATTTAAAAAAAGGACAGTTTAAAAAATAGTTCATTAGTATTAAGCATAATCAAAGAACTAATTAGCGATGAAATTTAGAGAAAAATCCAAACTTGCTTTTTCGCAACTATGGAAAACATTGGCTTCATCACTATTGCCACCTTCATACTACATAGATAATATTTTTATCCATTGCTCACCGTTGGAATGTACTTTGACTTATATTGCACATCAGTTTTCTTCATAATATCGTCCTAGTAGATTATCTTTACTTCGCTGTCATCTACAGGAACATATATTGATTCACAGTTCATATGAGTTTAGCTCTATTTAATGGAAATCGTCTCCACAGTTTTTGTTACATATAAAATTAAGAAGACTCGAAATAAGAACTTATAGTCACGCATCAGACAATGTTCATTTGTGATTTATTTCATTAATAATCAAATTAGAGACTTATGCATGCAGAATTATGGTCTCTTTTGCCTGAAAATAAACTTTAGCAAATAACCAAAAGATAAACTGGGAATTGTTCTCAAAGAAGAATCTAAAAATAAAATTTTAGTACCAATTTGCAGGAGTTATGCGATGGCAAACAACGTCAATCTTCTTTGCTTCCATTTTGTGAAGATTTTTGGCGTTTTTCATCATTCTTTAAACGATCGGACGGTTACTGCGGTTGTGTTGATCGTCGTGATGAACTAAATTGTTCCCTCGAATTATTAAGTTGTGGGTAGATGTGGGTGTTATAATTCTTCATGTGCGCCCACATCCATAGCCATACACACCCCACACCCCACACTCACACGTCCTAGCCTAAACCAACCAGAATGGCAGCCATAGTCACAACCGCTCCTGCACTTAGACCGATATTTACATTCATATTAACTCTCAAGCATAGTCGCATGCACACATAACCATCATTCAATAATTTCACTTCTGGTCTTATATCATGCTTGAAATATGCTTATATTTCACAGCGAAAAGTATGTCGTCCACTCTTAACCAATGAAGTAAAAGAGTCGTTGAAGAATATTCTTGAAGAAATCGATTGAAGTACCGAACATAATATTAATACCTTGGAACCACGAATAAACAGTTGACCAGAACGTGTGATAAATAAGCGTTAATGGAGGCATGATTACTCCGAGAGAAAACAAATAGAAGAAGGAATTTGGATCGCAGATGAATGTATCTTTTATGAGATAGTGTATAAAGACTTACATTCCTCGATTAAATGCACTTATTATTTTAAGGACATTGGATGTCTGTGAATTGTTTTGTTCACAAAGGAAGCGACCTACTTGGTAGTAATGCAGCAAATTATACTTGTCACTTATGAAATACTGTATGACATCCCAGATACCTAACATCACTAAACAAATGACACTTATTCAATGCCTGCTTGATCTGTTAGGTATCACGTGAGTGACTACAGATGCCCCTAATAATTGTACGATCACATTAATATATAATATAGTATTCATATCAGTTGACGTGATTAGCTTGATGAAGATGCATAGATAGTGGCAGATGCTCAAGAACAAGGCTATAAGAATTGAATCAAAAAAAATGATTGATTGGTAGCACATTACATTCATTCAAAATTATTTTTAATCTGTACCGCCAAAAATCTCGTCGTTGTAATCAACATTGTATGATAGAGAATGCCAACATCTAAATATCGTATTGAAGGAACAATCAAATTTTTTTCTTCTCCCTAACCAACGCACCTGTTTGCTCGTCCATACATTAAAACTTGAGCAAAAACCCAAATCCTCATATCGACAAGTACACCGATTATTAATTAGAGGGCGTGTTCCATAAAGTGCCCATTCTGGTTTCACTAGCCAATCTTTTAAATCTCTTTTGGAACACAACTTCAAGCTAAATGATGCATTCGACAAATGTGTAAAATTATCAATCATACGGATCATAGTAGCTGGACTTATGTATGCTATAGATAAATGTTCAAAAAGAGGGAAAATGGTGTATAATTCTTGAACTGGATATTTTCGATCATTGATAAAGTCAACATGTGTAGTAAGCGCTCTAATCCGTTTCAATTGCATATTTTTGAACTGTTAAATAAGTTCTAATGGATTAGTCCTTATGGATATTTTACGAAGACGAGACAAGTTTAACAGATGAAGAATATTTTCTAGTCACTGAGTGACTGGAAAACATAGATTCAAATCCTCTATTCGATCAATATCGATAATAGATGAAAGAGTTTTAAGCTGAACAACGTTTTCGAGTTGCAATGATCGAACATTAGGAAAATAATGATTACAGTCTAGTAATCACTCGGATATGTTGAGTAAAGTTGTATTCTCTAGATAAATTTTATTGTCAAGTACTGTTGAATAGATAGGTCGTTGCAAAGTGCTCTTGCAACAGGTACTTGCGAAACGAGGCACAGAAAACAAAAGATCATTCTCATAGGCTACAAACCAACGCTTTTGAAGCCAGAACCAAGTTTGAAAAGTAGCTAGAGTTCTTTCAATTTCAACTAGTCTTACATGGAAAATAAAGTTAAAAGTGACAAGTATGCTAGTAATGTTTTCCCATCGATGTTCGTTGGCTAAATCGACAGCATCATTCTTATCATGT